CGAGGCCGAAGAGGCTGATGAGGAGGTCCTTGGCGATGACCAGGGGGTGCATGCCCTCGGCGTAGTAGGTGGCGATCTCCAGCAGCGGGGGGAAGATGAGAGCCAGGGCGCTGCTGCTGACGGAGCCCACCAGGGCGATGACGAGGTCCAGGCGTGGGATGAGGATGGCCAGCACGCCTGGAGAACCAGAGGACACCACAGGAGGTTAGCGCTGCCGGCTCCCGCACTGCAAGGACCCTCCTCCCCCGAGGCAAGCAAGCACAAGCCCCCCAGGGATCCCCCTGAACCTCACCTCAGCTCGTTTACCCGAGAGAGGCTTTGAAGCTGTGGGTGTTTTCCAGCAGCTCCTCCCCAGCGAGCTATCAGGGCAGGAACTGCAGCACACACCCCAGCCCTTTGTGCCGCCCCAGGCACCACCTCAGCCAGCTCCAGGGCAGGGTGGGAGGGTGCCCCGGCAAAGAGATGCCGCTGGCAGAAAGGCGGGACCCCCCGAGAGAGCCAGCACCCCTGCTCCCCACACCTGGCCTCCGAAACCCCATGAAAGCAGGAGATGAGAGGGAAAAGCCACCCGCCCCCAACTCCGAATAAACCCACGTGGTCTGCGGGCGTTTCGAGCTGCTCCAGCAGCCCAGCGCCGACAGCAGAGCCCCGGGGAGAACATTTGTCAGGGCAAAACTGCAGCCAAGGAGAACCCCGCTGGGAGACTGACAGCTGGAGCTAAGCCCTGCGAACCCTGGCAGGCTCCTGCTTGGGTCGGGGAGGATGGAGGGATGGTGTCTCCTCCCAGCCAGCCCACAGCCACCACCTCCTCTGGGCTCCTCCTGGGGCACCACAGCCTCGGTGTTTGGGGAGCAGATCTGAAATCGAGGATCCCCAAGGTCCTGTTTGGCAAGCAGGTGCAGTGCCCCTCGGCAGGCACTGAGCCAGCTCCCCAGCCCTCCAGAGCATCACTGCTGCTCTTCGGTCAAACAGAGCCCGAGGAGGACAACCAGAGCTTTGCATGACAGAAGAGCAGCCTCTGCAAGCAAAGCAGACTTCAGCAGTTAATTGGCGTTGCCAAGAGAATTAAATGGGTTTATTGCTTTGAAAGCTCTGCTTAGAAAGAGGAGACACCAAGGAGAGTGGCAGCTACAGCCTCGGTGGAGAAGAGACATCTCAGAGCTCCATACTAGGGGATTTGTTCACTCCCTGCCAATCAGCTACAGGCAAGAGGCTGGAGCTTCCCTGAACCAAAGATCACCCATGGCACCACAGGAGATGGAAGGCTTGGGAGACTGGCAGCAGTCAAAGACACCAACAAGACAGATGCTCCTGCACATGGCCACCATTCCAGCCCTGCTGTTATCTGGATAAGCCTAGAGACAAAGCATTCCCTCCACCATGAGAACAGCAGCAAAGGTCCCTGCTGAGCTGACCTGGAGGAAGTTCATCCCAGGGCTCAGCCCTGAGCACAGGCAAAGGAGCCAGCAGCCAGTGGGAGAGCAGAGCAAGCAACCACCAACAGCATCCTCGGCCCACCCCACACTGCTCTTTGGACTCCAATTAAACAGAATTATTAACCCCCCCTCTAAACCAGGCAGCACTGAAGCACCAGCTGCAGTCAGCCCTGGGGCAACGGCCGTGCTTCCCTCAGGTATAATTCAAAGGGGTTTTTATGTGTGCTGGTTTTGAAGTCTAAGCTTAAAAGAAACCCATGCACCAAATTGCATCCTCTCTTTGGAAGCCAAAGCCACGATGGGGGCTTGTCCTGCGGCCACGAGATCATCTGATGAATATTCATGCAACCCCCCCAATTGCTTTTATCCTCACCACCAGCCACAGCCATCTCTTACGTGGAAGGGGAGGAGGTGCAAAGGAACCAGCACCCTTCCACCAACACCTTCCGCTGCCTCCCTCCCCCAGAGCTGGAGGGTACGGCCACTGCCAGGGCCCAAAGCCATCCCATCACCCCAGGCCTTCTGCTCCCTGGCCAGGCACAACCCAGCGCCCTCCAGGAGAGGCTCCCATCCCACAGGCAGGTTCTGAACCCCAGCACAGCATCAGGGTGGCCAGAGAACGTGGTCCAGCACGGCAGGATTTCATCCCTCCAGCTGTGGGCATCAAGGCAGAACGTGCTTCAGGAACTCAGCACAGAGGAGATGGGTCTTTGCCCACCTCTACCAATGCAGCACTTCTGGCCCATCACCGTAGAGAGCCCAGAAACCAGCAGCACCCTGCTCTCAGCCAGCTCCACCACCCTCAAGTCAGCACCACACTCCTCTCAAACCCACACCCAAGCCAGCTGGGACGTGGGGCCACATCCCTGATGCTCAACTCTGGTGCATCAGCAGCGTCAAGCCATGGAGAAAAGCTCTTTGTCAGCAGAGCTCAGTCAAGCATCTCAGCTGTGCTGCCAACAGCAAGGATTTAGACTTCAGGAATCAAAAGCAGCCCGAGTCAGATATACCTGCTCCACTCCACACCTTTCCTAAAGGTCCACCAGGCTCAGGCCTGGCAGCCTGCTCCACCTGAGCTTCCCCACAGGCACCAAACTCCATCAAGGGGAAGGGACCATCTGGGGCTGATCCAGCCCAACCTGCCCTGAGGTGTGCTCCACACCCAGCAGACTCCCACGGGTACAGTGGGGCTTTGGCTGTAGGTTGTGTACCATTGCCAGTTGTCTTCTGCTGTGCTACACACTGCAATGAATGTGTGGGAACAAGGACATCAGTTCCCTCATGGTCCCCGACCCATTTGCAGCCGTGCCACTGTCATGCAGGCACAAGGAGCCTGGCTGCCCATGGAAAACAAGCCCAAGTTTGGGCTGCCCTGGCACAGAACAAGGTGCTGGGAGTGTTTCATGCAAAGATGGGTGGGACCTGATGGCCCCCAAAAGTGCCATTGGAGAGACCCCTGACCCAAGGCTCCGAGGGGATGTGGGAAGTTTACTACTCCTCCACTGAGAAGCCTGGTCCCAAACAGAGGGGGCAGAGGTCCACGACTGCTGCTCCCTGGAGGCCACCTTGGCCCACTGGCTTGCATCAGCAAGGTCCAGGAGGCTCCCTGCTGTGAGGGCCTTAGCAGCAGGGCCAGAGGCAGCAGGGTGCGGGGTGGAAGCTCTCAGCACCAGCAGCCCACAGCAGGAAGGAGGTGCCACGTCCCCAGGGGGGAACTCGGACAAGCTGCTGTCTACTCACAGGTCAGGCTGACCAGGGCCACCCTGAGGAGCAGGTTGACAACCCAGCCCCAGCGCTCCGAGACCCTGGCGACGAGGGGAGGGATGATGATCTCGGCGGGCACGTAGAACTGCACGGCGTAGGTGAAGAAGATCCCGAAGGAGAAGAGCAGCTTGACAGCTTGGTACAGCCTGCAAACGAGAAGGAGGAGACCCACTGAGACATCTGCTTGCTCCAGGCATCAACGGTAGAAAGTAGAAGGGGAACGCTCTGCCAAGAAGGAGTTTTGTGTGGCCACGGTCTCCTCTCCTGAACAGTCTCCTGGAAAATGAGGGGTGATGCACTCAATCCACAGAGACCTTTCTCGGGCAGGAGACAGCAAGGAGACAACACATGTTTCCAAGCCACAGCAACACATTCCCCACATCTAATCACAGGCTTTAGTCCTGGCTTGGTGTAAGGAATCATCAGGCCAGAGGCTGGGCCAGCAGCCTCTCAAGTGTTGCCTCCCCTTGGGGAAACCCACGGGCACAGATATTGAGAGCTGTTAGAAAAAGAAAACAAACAAACAAACACCAACAAACCACTGCTCTGCTCCTAACTCATTGAGAGGCAGAGGTAAAGCTGAGGTGTCCTTAGCCAAGGGACCAGGAGCTGAACGTGTTCCTCAACACCTTAAGGCACCTACTTACATTTCTGGATGCACCCTCATGCCACACTGCCCTTGGCTGCACAAAGCAACGAGTCCTCCAGGTCCCTTGCTCCCTACAGAGAGATACAGGCTCCCTTCTGCCCTCTCCACTTGACCAGCCTGGACTCTGCAAAGTCTGCAGTGACACAGGGTGGCCTTCTTCATGACTGCCCCCGCAGACAGCACCCACATATCCACTAGCACTGGCACTGCCAAGAGCCTGCAATCCTGAGCTTTGGCCAGCAACCCAGAATGAAGTTCCATCCATCACCCATCCCCAGAGGTTCCTCACCTTGACCTTCACCAACAAAATCCAGCCTCTGAGCTAAAGGAAGACAAACCCCTCCCTTTTTTCTCCTATTTGTAACCAGCTGGATTTTATTGTCCATTTGAAACAGATGAAGAATAGCTCCAGAGAGGTTTGTCACCTTGTGCTGGTTTGGACTGGGGTAGAGTTCATGTTCTTCATATTCCACAAAGGATGACAGTCCTTTTTGGCACCCAGCGTGGGCTCAAAGGCCTCAAGATAATAAGAGATTTGACGAGAATGTGCCAATTTATAGCCATTATTGCTATTTAGCTATTAATCAGCAGGTTCCTGTGCCATGGGGCTTGCTCCCTGTCTGCGCATTAAAGTCCACAGCTCATTAGCAGCTACGTTTTGCTTACATGGCTTCCTGTAGTGCTAGACTGCTTATCACCTTACTCTGCTGTGCCCAGGACAGTTTGATAACAGCCACGGCCGTGCTCCTGGGCTGGAAGACGGCCAGGGCATCCCTGCTGGGCTGGACAGGCTGGAACCTCAGGGCGGACTCGAGTCAAAGGGACTGTGACCTGCGGATGAGGCTACAGGCAAGAAGAACAACCCTTGCTGGAACAGGAGGAGGAGTTCATCCCAACCTTAAACCCCAGAGCTGGGCCCAAAGGGACCAGGGGCGGGGATTTTGATGGAAACACCTTTAAATCGTTGGGCGGCGTGTCCCGAGCTGCGCGTCACAGGAGTCACTACAGCAAGAGCCACCCAAACCTGCGGAGGACAAGCCTTCCAAGGAGCAGTGCAAGTGCAGCAGAGACCTGACCTGAGCTGCCTTGGGTGCCCATCACTCCATGCAACACAGCACCTTTCCTCTTCTCAGCGACCACCGTAACGGATGGAGCCCAAAGTCATGGACTCAAGGGACGTTTTATGGACACTTCACAGGCGTTTCACAGGGACAGTCCGTAAACTAAGGTAATGATATTGGTATATTGAGTCTGTGCATCTATGGGAAGGGGCTGGGTGGTTAATGAGGGTGTATTGGATGGTGTGGGACCTGAGCATGGTGTAAATGAAGTGGAGTAAGAGGTGAAGAATGTGCTGGTTTGGGCTGGGGTAGAGTTCATTTTCTTCATAGTATCTGTTCTGAGGCTACATCTGGGCTTTGTGCTGAAAGCAGTGTTGTTAATTGAGGGATGTTTCCATTTCTGTTGAGCAGGGCACACTAGCCATTGCTGAGCAGTGCTCACAAAGACTCAAGGCCTTTCTGCTCCTCACCCCACCCCACCAGCGAGCAGGCTGGGGGGAACGAGTAGCTGGGAGGGGACTCAGCTGGGACAGCTGACCCCAACTGGCCACAGGGATACCCCACACCATAAGACATCATGCTCAGCATATAAAGCTGGGGAAGAAGGAGGAAAGGGGAGACACTCAGAGTGATGGCATTTGTCTCCCCAAGTCACCCTCAGATGTGCTGGAGCCTGGCTGTCCTGGGCAGGGCTGAACCCACTGCCCCTGGGACGTGGTGAATGAATTCCTTGGTTTGCTTTGCTTGTGTGCAGCTTCTGCTTTACCTATTAAACTGTCTCTGTCTCAGCTTATGAGTTTTCTCACTTCTACTCCTCTGATCCTCTCCCTCATGCCACCGGAGGGGAGCGCGTGTGGGGCTGAGTTGCCAGCTGGGGTTACACCACGACACAGCTCCAGCCAGGAATATTTCACAGATTTCCATTACTGCTTGGCTTCTGAGCAGGGGGAAGAGGACAGCACTACCAGGATAAGTCTGGGCTTACACAGCAAATGTGATGCAAACATCTCCACCTCCACCCGCAATTCAACCTCCTCCATCAAACAAGAAAGAGCACCTACTTTTGGAACACTGCCTAACACGTGTTTGGGGGGAAGAGAGTTAAAAGAGCAGTTTGGGCTGAGCAGAAGGAAGGCAGAGTGCAAACAGGCTGCAACCAGCACCCCAGGCTCACCCCGAGTCAGATCTCACCACGTCCCAGCTCCTGAAGTGATGCAGCAGGGGCAGGCATGGCTGCAGGAGAGAGTCCACTGCAGGTGGCCAAAAAGCCACCTCCTGGCCCCATCTCTGCCCTTGGCTCCCCAGTAGCAGAAAGAGAGTCTCCAAAGGAGGAACAGTATCTAGTTACATCACGTATGGTTCTACCTGTTCCCCAACTGAAGACATGCTGACCAAGCAGGAAACACAGGTCCTGTCCATACCACTTCGGTAAGCACGAGGTGGATCCAAGCTGAGGAAGGTATCTGGCTCCTCCTGCCTTCCTGTACCCCTTCACCTTCTTTGGGCCCAAGCCAGTGCTGCTCTGTATGCTGCCTCTCAGCACCCAGCTGTCAGAACAACAGTCTGAAACCAAAGTCCAAGTATTCACATGCAAGACAGCTTTGAACACTAGTGGCAGAGGCTGGTGGAGTCCAACATTTCCCACAACCACAGGGGATGGAGTTAAGGATCACCCAAGCAAATGGGATGTCATGCAAGTCCATGGGACCAGACCAGATGTATTTGAGGCTGTGGCCAACATCAAAAGTGAAGCCACTTTACCATCTTTAAAAGAGCAGAGTGATCTGGGAGAGATCCTGCTGCCTGGGAAGAAGAATCACATGCCCCTTCAAGAAGGATGAGGAAAGCTACAGGCTAATCAGCCTCACTTTGATCCCCAGAAAAGTATGGGCTAAGTCCTTCCATCCTCCCAGCATCCACTTCCAGGCACGTATTGGACAGGATGAACAGCCAGCAGGGATTTGCCAAAGGACAGTTGTGGAAATATCCTCATCAATGATCTAGATGAGCCCTCAGTGGCCCAGAGCACATTGTCAGCAAGTTCCCAACGAGATTGAATTGGAGGGGATGACTGACACACCTTGAGGTACAACCTAAACAGCATGGTGGCACAGGCAAAGTTCAAATGGAAACACAAAATCCCTCACCTGGGATTGGCCCAGCTTCCCATCTGGCCAGGGGATCAGGACCTGGAGGAGTTGTCCATCAGTCACAGGGCTGTGTTAGTAATAGCACAGCCAGCAGGTTAAGGGAAGGGATGACTCTCCTGTAAGGCTTGTGAAGCTGCATCTTAAGTATTGTGTCCAGCCTTGAGACTCCCAGGGCACGACAGACATTGACCTACCAGAGCAAGCTGAGTGGAGGCTACTAGGATAGTTGGGGCCACATCACACGACATACAAGGAGGGGCTGCAAGACCTGGGTAAGTTAAGCATCAGAACACAGGCCTGGAGAGTTAAGGAACCTCTTCCTCACTGATACTCAGAATTTAAGTTGGCCCTGCTTTGAGCAGATGGGTGGACTTGATGCTCTCATAATGTCCTCTCCAACCTAAATTATCCTGTGATTCCACAGGCAAACTGAAGACAAAGCTATCAGAGAGTCCAGAGTGCACCCGCTGAGCCACAGACGACTTGAGTGCACAGTAGCCTTGAGCCACCCACCCCCAGGCTGCCTATCTTATCATTGTATTTTCAGTTAAGTGATGCTGTAAAGCCATAAAGTGCTCCAGGGCAATCCACGACAAAGAGATGTTATTAAAAAAGGTACAGAATAACATTAAGTACCAATCCTCTACAAATCAGGAATAAGGACAATAGGCTCAAAGGGCATTTTAAATATCAAGAAGAGGAAGAGTTCAAGGGCTAGCCTTGATCCATGGAACACAAGGGTCCACACAGGGCCCTGGAGAGGCACTGCTCTGCCAATCACAGCAATCCCCTGCTTAACCCAGGGAGCTGCAAGGAATGGTGTGCCCTCCTTTGATGGTAAGCTCTGTCATCACCTACCTCCAACCGGCCACACGCAACCAAAGATGTTCCCCCTCACTACAGCATTTCTTCACTCTTCAGATGGTGAGGTGAAGCAACCCTTCCGAGGACTCGAGGAGGGATTTCTGCATAGCAGGGTGGTATTTCCGAGGCCGTGGTTAGACCTGGGCACTGGGAACTGACACACTCCTCATTTGAGGAAGCTGTGGTTATAGAGAAATGAGGCTGGAAAAGTCCTTAGTCATCCTGTAACTCAACGATTCCCAACACGTTCATCAAATCTGTTCTAGAAACCTCCAGGCAACAGCTACAGCCAAGGAAGGATCCAGCACCTCTGGATCCTCGCCCTGGCTCCCACGCCGCAGGCAAAGCCCAGGACTTCTCACCCACACCCCTTACAACCAGCTTCTGCAGCCCAACGCCTTCCCCCACCGGGGAAAAAAACCTGCAGCCAAAACAAGGTGAGCAAAACACTCCTTCCAAAGGCAAGTCTTCACCCATCACCTACAGTTTAATGCAAGGGAATACAGCGGTCAAGGCTTTAGCCCAGGAATCCCAGCCCTTGCTTTAGATAGCTCATTTCCAAGTCCAATACTTACAGCCTCCATCAAAAGATCATGCACCGACACCGAGCGTTTTGCATGCTGAGTCAGCAGGACTGCAGCACACCTTGCCTGGAGGCAGCCTGCAGGAGCCCTCCACGTGCCTGGCCTTCCCCAGGAGCTGCTTCCAAAGGGCTACTCCCTTCTTGCCATTGAAAAAACCCTGCAGGCTTTTTCAGAAAAGGACCTGCATGGGAAGTGTGGATACTCCCAGAGACAAGCATATGAAACAGGATCTTTCTGTAGCCCAGCAAGACATAGAATTACCATTACCCTCTTCTAAGGGAATGTCACCCTTCAGGGCCAACAAAGTGAGATTTCCCACAGAATCCCCCAGGCAGCATTACAGGTCAGCAGACATTACAGGTTGTGGTGTGACCTGGTGCCTAGCAGAGCCCAAGACCTGGATCTGAGCTGCTTTCTACCTCCAGGAGTAGCACCAGCATTTCATCCCCTCCACATCCCACTTTAGCTTGTTGAGCAGGTGGGATTAACACCTACTGGGCTTGGCATGGTGGGATTGAGATGTCCCCACAACAACAGCATGTTCAGCCTGGAGCAGAGAAGGCTCCAGGGAGACCTTACTGTGGCCTTTCAGTACTTCAGGGGGGCCTATAGGAAAGATGGAGGCAATCCTTTTAGCAGGATCTGTTGCAACAGGACAAGGGGTGATGGTTTGAAACTAAAAGAGGAAGATTTAGACTAGAGAGGAAGAAATTTTTGATGCTGATAGTGGTGAAACACTGGCCCAGGTTGCCCAGAGAGGTGGTCGATGCCCCATCCCTGGAAACATTCCAGGTGAGGTTGGCTGGGGCTCTGAGCAACCTGCTCTGGTTGGGGATGTCCCTGCTCCCTGCAGGGGGGTTGGGCTGGATGGCATTGAAAGGTCCCTTCCAAAGCAAAGCCTTCCATGATTCTACGATTCTATCCTATGACCATCCTGAGTGCAGCAAGCTGGAAAAGGCATTTGTTCCCACTGTTTGCATGCTTCACACTTCTTGTCCTAAAGGCAAGGGAAACTGTTTGCACTTCTCCTCTGAGGTGAATATGGAACCAGGACATGAAGCAGCCCCTCACGCCCAGGCTGGAGCAGCAGAAGCGGGGTCCTCAGGCCCCAGCACTCCCAGGCAAAGCTCCAGACGAGTAAAAGCCGCAGCCAGACACGACGCAGGGCTGGGGAGTGGGAGTTGGAGCTGCAGGGCTGCAAACAAGGAACGCAGCCCACACGTGGAGACGTCACATCCCACCCCCTCTGGGAGATCCCAGCTTTGAGTTAGTTTCCGTGCACAGCATTTGGGGGAGAGAAGGGATTTCGGCACAGTTCGACAACCTTCTGGTAGGGCGGCACGGGGACGTGTTGACCATCTGCCAGCCAGAGCTTTGCTCACCTCCAGAAAGATACTACAAGGCTCCAAGAAAAAGGCAGGAGCTGTATCTACCCATGCAGGGACCACGGGGTACCCTGAAGAAGCAGCCTGAGCTGCAGAGCCAAGACCAAGCCCAGACACCCCACCAAAGAGCCTCACCACCCGTAAAACAGACAACCCTTGAGAAGCTCCTTCAGACAGTTTGGCTACAGCACAGTTGATCCTTCTTAGGCTCAGCCAGATTAGTTCTCCAAACACGTGCTGTCCCTGCTGCCCCTTCTCCTGCCTCTCCTCAGCCCCCTGGTCCCCACAGAGACTCACCAGCAGTTGGGCAGGTTGAGTGTTATGCTGGCCTGAATGTCCGCCCCGAAGCGCAGGTACCCCAGGACACTCAGGCTGATGTACAAGGTGGTGACAATGGTCATCCCCACGTACAGGATGACTGGGAACTGACGAGGGTTCTTCATCTTGTTTTCCAGAGGCAGCACCTGGGAAAGGAGGAGGAGGAGGATGACAGAGCAGCTGGCTGTCCCCATTCCTCTACACACCTCAGCCCCGGCAAGCAGGAGGGGCAGCCCCTTGGCTCAGCACAGCCACCCATGCCAGGGGACAGGATGGTCACACGTGGAGCCTGGAGAACCCAGCTGAAGAAGCTGCTGTACTGAGATCTGATTTCTGTGCTCTCGTTTGA